AACAGCGTGCCTGAATGAAACGTAATTATACACCTAACCCTTAACTGTACCCCACAAAACCATAATAAAAAATACTGATTAATAAAAAAAAAAAACAAAAAAAACTGTCAGTTCCCCAGCAAAAGCACCCAGAACTGGCACAGGCATCTCCTCCTAATACAACTTTTGCAGGGAACAGTTTCTTTTCAGTGGCACTGCTTTTAACAGTCTCCAAACGTTCTTCCTCTGTGTGCACTCCAACTCCAATAAAAAATTAAAATTAAAAAAGAAATTGACTAGGAAAAAAAATAATAAAAATAAAAATAAAAATTCACAACACAGAATCAGAAAACCAAATACTGCATGTTCTCACTTAAATAAGTGGGAATTGAACACTAGGTAGACACAGCATAAAAGGAATAACAAACACTGAGGAGTCTTAAAGGGGGATGAGGGGGGAAGGGTTGAAAATCACTCATTGGGTCACCACTTGGGTGACGAGCCCAATAGAAACCCAAATCTCACCATCACGCAATATACCCATGTAACAAACCTGCATGTGTACTCCTTGAATCTAATTTTCTTTTATTAAAAATTAAGTTTCTCAGTCAAGCTAGTCACACATTCCAAGTGCTCATTTCCCACAAGAGGTCTTACAATAGTTCCATCATTGCAGAAGGTTTTATTAGACAGCACAGCTCTTGTAGCAGATATACACATATCAACATGCAATGTCAGCAGCACTTAGACAAACCTGACTGTATTCGGAAGATGGACTCAAGTGGAACAGTGGCTCACATGCTGTTGTATACAAGGGTTGGCAATCCTGCTACTGTTTATTATGATGAAGAGGGCACTTGGGTTAAGATCTCTCTTAAAAGAAAGAAGATGTATGAGAGAGAATCCCCCAAAATGAAATTTATTTATAAAAGTTGTGTATTTATTCTTACATGTTTAAACTTCAGTTACCTTCAAAATACTCTCAGTTTGGTGCAATATGCCTATCAAGATGCTTTTTCCACTGCTCAAAAACAGTTTTTGAACTCACCAATTTTGATTCCTTTTAGTGCTTCTATTGTTTTTGTTTCATCTCTTCCACATCAGCAAAATGTTTCCCTCTGAGGGTTTTTTTATCTGGGGAAACAAAAAAAGTCACTCATGAAGAGATCCGGTGAATAGGGAGGATGGGGCATGGAGGTCATGCAGGTTTTGGTCAAAAACTGCTGAGTACCCAGTGAAGTGTGGACAAGTTGTTTGTGTAGATCACCCATCAAGAAATGGACAAACACATTGAACGAATCTCCAAAAAAAATTCACTGAAGCTGAATGCAGCCTCTCACAACAACATTAGCTGGTATACTGATACTGATGAGTTCTTAGAACACTTACCCAGCAGGGAAGCCTCCAAAAACTTATCCAGCAGGGTCCCATCCTCCAAAAACTAATTCCATTTTGTTTTGTGTCCCCCCTCATACACAGTCCTGGGGGCTTAAAATAGATTGAGTAGAAAGGTATCACAGTAGGAGGATTGCTAGGCCAATATGCTCCATTTTTCTTGTGTCATGGGCTGCTTCGAGCATGTGGAAAAAGCCACCTCTCCCCCTCCAAAATACATGAACAGTACCATGCATCCAATTCCAGGGGTCGGTAAACCTTCCCAAATCCATCCACAGACTTGCCAGATTAGAGCCCTACTCTAGGCTGTGAACCCTTGAAGGTATTTCCTTTTTTTCCAACAATTAGCAAAGTGCCTGGCCCTGATGACATTCACAGTATGTTGAAAGAGGCACATATTTGCTCAATACAAGTAAGAATCTTAATAGCCAGGGAGGCATTTAAGTGGAACAGACAACATCAGAAAGTCAGCAAGTTTTCCAGCCCTAGAGGAGTCCAAGTAGATGTGTGATGATGTAGAGGATTTCAACCTTCTCACAAAACTGAGTAAGCTTTGTGAGAGAGCCAAGGTTCTATATAAAGTGACAGTAAGGTCCTCGTGAAGGAACAATCACATACAATCTGTGTGAAGAGAATGGAATCTAGAAAAGTTTCATGCAGCTGGTGGTATTTTGGTTCAGTTCATGTCACATGGCTTCTTCTCTGAGGTTGAGTCCTTTCCTGGAAATCTCTTCAGGAAAAAAAAAAAGTTTCTGTCCTCCTCGCCTCCACAGCCCAATTTCCCTGACAAATTCAGACATGTCTAAACTTAGCAGTGGCAAGAGCTTGAACAGTACTCAGTGGGTCTTCAGGCCCCTTGCAAACAGACTTTTGTCAAACTTGTCCCACCAGTTTCAAACAAATTCAGGTACACCTTTATCCTCTGCAATGTATCATCTGAACTTTGAGTGACATGGTGAGAAACTCATGACGAGAATCTAAGGCTAAAATCATCTCAACTTTTGTGACTGTCTCTCTGCATTTGTACAAGTCAGTTATATCCAGTTATTCTTTCCTCCTCCACTAGTCTGCCATTCTTCAAGACCAGGAGCTATATCCTCACTTTATAATATATACTTGGCAGCTAGTATGTTCCGGTCAGTGTTTGGTTCATTTACACAGCAATAGGGTTTGGGATATAACAGATAGGCAGGTTTGCACACAATTATTCTTAGTATATAAGTTTATTATTGAGTGTATGTTACCATCCAAGATCTTGGAGGAGTACAGCTTTCTGTTTTTCAAAGAGCTGTACTTTGAAAGGCACACCCCCACCATTCCCAAAATATAAGAATCTTGACTGTATAATTGTAAGAATTAGATTGCTCTGTGTTTGCAACCCAGCTTGCCACCTGTCAGCTGTGTGACCTTGGGAAAATTATATGCTCTCTCTAAGCCTCCGTTTCCTCAGTTGCAAAATGAACATCCTATTCATCCCAGGATTGTTGTCCCAAATAACACTTAGTATGGTGCTTGGTGTGTACAAAGCATTCAGAAAATGGCATCTATTCATCCTGTGTCTTCTCACAGATTCCTTTTTTGAATAGAGAAGTAAATGTTGTTTGGGTCACAGAATTGTAAAGCAGGAGAGCAGGATCTCAACCCTAATGCCTGTACTCATGCCTCCTCCCTGTGGGAGACCAGGGAGAGAGGCTGCTTCTACTCATCTCTTTACACTGTGAAGGGAACAAAGCAGTTCCCTTGACATATACATAGCAGGAAGAACATAGGCTCTGAGGCAGAATGCTGGGGTTTTGAGTCCTACCTCATCCTTGTTAGATGTATGCACTTCAGCAAGTTCCTTTATCTGTCAGTGCTTCAGTTTTCTCATCTCATCCTCATTTGGGGCACAGTTGGAGAAGTGTATCTTAAACAAAGGAGCTGACAGTCTTACAGCCAGGGGGTCTGGACTAGGAAGGAATGAATGAAGTAAATCACATAAGTGGAGCATATGGATTTTGTTTTTTATTTAAAATGTTGATATTTTGTGGATATTTTTGCATTAATTTTGATTTTTAGAATATTGCATTATCATTTGATTTTGAAACCTGCCTATCTGTTATATCCAAAACCCTATTGCTGTGTAATTGCAAGAACCAAACACTGACCGGAACATACTAGCTGCCAAGTATATATTATAAAGTGAGCATATAGCTCCCGGTCTTGAAGAATGGCAGACTAGTGAAGAAGGAAAGAATAACTGGACATAACTGACTTGTACAAAATATTATCTTGATAACTGAGTTTTCCTTAAGTTTTGCACCCAGTGTAGTGCCTCATTCGCCCGGTCCTAGTCCTACCCTGAGAAAGCGCACAAGGACCCAAGTCCGAAATCAGAGAAACCCTGAGGAAAAGCCTTTATCCCTGAGTTTACCCTTCTGCCCCAGAATGCTTAGCCCGCCCAGGAAAGAGGCTCAGGGAGTGGACTACAAGTCCCAGAAGGCCGCGCGGTGCAGCGCCGTCACCGATTGGCTGCGCGAGTCCCGCTCCCGCCCCGCTCCTGCCGGGACGACCCGGGCGGCGAGTGCTTGGCTAGTGTGTTCCTACAGTTGGCTACCGCCGAGGCCACCCCGTGAGCGGACTTCATGGCGGCGCGGCCGCTGTTCCAGATGCTGCGGCGGCTCCTGAGGTCCAGCGCCCGGAGCTGCAGTTCGGGAGCTCCGGTGACGCAGCCCCGCCCCGGGGAGCCCTCGCGACCCGCCGTGGAGGTGAGCCCACCCCGCACGCTCGCATCCACACCTTCCCCGAGAGGGGGCAACGCGCACGCCCCCTGCGTTGGCTGCTTCTGGGAGGGTCCCCGTAGGGGGTGGGATGGTTTTCTCCAGAAAGACCGCCCGGTCTCACCCGCTGACCCGGCGGGAGGGGCTCCCCGGAGTCTCACTTCAGCACCTCCCTACCTCCAAGCCGTGCCACTCTCTTTCACCTCTGAGCGTTGGCCAGAAATGGGGGCCATCAGGGGATGGAACTTCGAGTCCAGTGAGGTGTTTTATTAGTACCCCTCAGCCCTGCTTGTCATGCAATCTCTTCCTCAAATGTTTTCCCTCCCTACCCCCTAAGAGGAGGGTGTCAGTGTGTGATCAGGTGTCCCTGTGACAACTGCTTTATGGTGTGACTGACTAAACATGTCACATTGGTGCCTCCAACAGCGAGGTGTCACTTTGTAGTCACAGGGCTCTGTGATCCGTCCTTTGCTGACTCTTTCTGTCTCGTTTTTTATTAACCTTGGGGAGGATTCAGGCTCCTTCTAGAGCAGAAGGGAGTAGGATCTTGCCTCTTCTAGGTTAGGGGTTCCTGCATCTCTTTAGGGTTTGGGGTAGAATCCCCAAGTCCTTGACAGTGCCCCTCAAGAGTGTTTCAAGTCATAACAAGTTTTAAGTTTGCTGACTTTTTGCTCACGTAGCTAGGCAATAATTTGTAGAAGCAAACATTTTTTTCATTTGGCGAAACCCTCTTTTCTAGACCTACCTAGTTCTGTCTTCCAGGACTAGGCTTTATGTCCTGTGATTCATCTGATCTCTATTTTCCTCTCCCACATGTATCTCAAAGAGGGGCAGCACATCTGCCTAACTTGTTTTCCCCAAATCTAAGCCCCTGTAGGCTCCTCAGATAAGTAGGCCCATCTTTGGAAAGTGAATAACTTTTTGGTAACCTTGAACTTGAGGAAAACACAGGAAAGCAAAGATGGCTGAGAGTTCTTTAAAGAGTTCAAGAAAAGGAAACTTTCTTCTCTACACTCCTTCCCCCCAGTTTATTTCGTACTTTTCATAAGAGGACCTGTGCTAAGGGACTTCATATGTGGAATCATTTAAGCCTCACAATAAACTGTGTATGTTTAATAGAGTCTATGTTTTCAGGTTAGGTGACTAACGGAAGTTAGCTTTCCCCAAGTCACAGAATTGTAAAGCAGGGGAGCAGGATTTCAACCCTAATGCCTGTACTCATGCCTCCTCCCTGTGGGGAGACCAGGGAAGAAAAGCTGCTTCTACCTATCTCTTTACTCTGTGAAGGGAGGTATAACATAACAAGAAGAACATAGACTCTGAGGCAGAATGTTGGGGTTTTAAGTCCTACCTCACCCTTGTTAGATGTAAGCGCTTCAGCAAGTCCCTTGATCTCTCAGTGCCTCAGTTTTCTCATCTGTAAAGTGGTAATAATAGTGTCTACTTCATAGGGTGTTATAGGGATTACAAGAGTTAATATGCCTTAACATATATACACTTAGAACAAAGCCCAGCACATGTAAGTGCTGTGTTATGTAAATGTTTGTGGTAATTATAGTTATCCTTGCCACCACTGCCAGATGCTGTCCTGTTAGTCCCCTCCCACTTGGACATGCAGGATAGCTATTCTGTCAATTGTTTAATTGCAGATATCTCATCTGGGATCTGCATCAGGGTTTTCCTCAGCAGACTGGGCGCTCCTGAGGGCTGGGTGCTCTTCTGCCTTTCTAAGTATTTCCGCACAGTGCTTAATACAGGGTTGTATGGACAGTGGAGTCAACAAATATTTTTTGGCTGTTTGAGCCCCAACTAGTGAGGAATCACATGGCACAGCCCTGGATAGGGAGTCCCATGTTTTCATCTACCCATTTTACCTGGCTCCTGGGGCTGTGACTTCCTCTTGCTTCATGTTTAGAAAACCAGAGGGTTAGCCAGCCCATCATAAGATGGGAGGGCACCGAAATTTGTCTTTAAGAGAATCTCAGAGGTGAGATGAGTCTGAATATATATATGCGCACACGTGTGTGTGTGTGTGTGTGTGTGTGTGTGTGTGTGTGTGTGTATGTGTGTGTATGTGTGTGTGTGTGTGTATTCAGTTCATTCACAGAGCTTGCTAGTTGGTAAGAGCAGGGGTAGGGACATCTGGAACCCCTGTCCTCCCTTCCTTCCTACACAGTCCCTCTCCCCACAGGGCTCTAGTAGTCTGGTTTGGGATAGGAGGTGCTTGGAGAGCCAGGATGGAAAGCCACTGGGCATTGTTTGTGTGACACGGTGTGGGTGTAAGGGGTGTGGGGTGTGAGGGGGAGCTGGCTGTGAGGACAGTGGAAAGAGGGCCTTGGGGTGGGTCCAAGGACAAGACAAGCAACTTCTACCAGTCGAAAGGGTGTGACATGGTGTTGTGGGGGTCATGGGGAGGTGGTGGTGGGGACACAGTAACCTGCTGTCCTGATTGGGGCAACCCAGACAACCTTCTCTGTAGGGTTTAGCCCAGCCCAGGAGCATTGCACCCCTCTTTCTCCCTCTCAGGCTCTGTGGGGGCAACATTAAAGGGGCCTACTGCTTATGGCAGGGGCAGGGGAGAGGATGACTCTGGGCAAGACAAAGGCACCCAGCTATACAGGGGGTTAGAGGAACAATTGCTGGCTAGGGGGTTAGGCTGGAAGGAAGTGCATGTGGGGAAAACCAGGAAGAGCACAGCAGGGCTTGGTGTGGGGGAGGGAGGGAAAGGAAGAAAAGGGAACTTTTTGGGGGGGTCATGTTGGCATCCAGTCATCCCAGCTTCTCAGAATCCATGTGTTACTGAAGTATGACTATTCTTGCCAGGAACCATTGGTGTAAAGACCACACTTAGGGTGGAAATGAGGGGAGAGGGATGGAGAACTGAGCCTGGATCTGGGCACTTTGCTGGGTCCTGTCATTTAAGAGATTAGTTTGGAGGGACCCCTGGTATGCATCATTCCAATAGCAGGTCAATAGGGACCACTGATATTTGAGTTTGGCATGTGCTCTTTTTCTCCTGAGTAACCCTGCTTACTCTTTCTAGACTCTGGAGCTACTTGAAGACTAGCCCTTAGCATTCAAATCAAATGTCCAAGTTAGTGACTACTAGCAGAAGGCACCTTGAAGGCAGGGTCTTCCCCCCTCGACTCCTTTGTGCCATTCTTCCCTGCCCCCTGTACCCCAATCTGTTGAATAGACAAGAAATGACCACTAGCATATGGCAGGCTGCCTGTTGCCTGCTTACTAGTCCTGGTACTTGTGGTCCTGGGGAGCTCAGACCCCATTTGTCTGGGTTTGGATTACGTGACTGCAGCTTTGCAACCCTACCTTAGACCAGCTGCCACTTAGTAGGGTTGGAAGGTCAAGGTCTTTCAGGGCTGGGAAGCTGACACAGGTTGGGAAAACTAGTTAGAGCACACACAACGGTGTCCTCCACAATCACCAACTGCATATCTACTGTGTGCCAGGAACTCCTCCAGTCTGGTTAGGTAGGATCATTATTTCCACTGTATAGATGTGGAAACCAAGGTTGACTCCAGAAAAACAGGAGGAATGAGCCCTGAAGAATGAGAGTCCAGGACCAAATCTTAATTCTAAACCCAATCGCAATTCTGTTCTCAAATCAAATCCCAAGTAGCAACTTGCTAGAGCCAGGCTTGTCATCCAGGTATACCTACTCCAACGCCTGCACTCAGAAGTACAACAGCAGGATTCAAATAGCACCTGCCACTGCAGTGTCACTAGGCCACTGCCACACAGTGGAATGCTGAGGCACTTGGTTGAGCCAGAATCTTTGGGGCAGTGCTCTGTCCTCAATCCTTCTTGAAGCTTCTTGAGTGATTTTGATGTGCTACCAGGGCTGAGGACCACTGTACTAGGCTAAACCATTCTGACAGAAGAGATCACCTTGGAAATGAACAATTGCCCATTGACTGGGCTTGGTGTATATCACCTTTCTCTTTATGTTAGGGACAGGCGTATTTATTCATGGATACAGGGACTTAACACTTGATACCAACATACTGTGTTAGATACTGGAGATACCAAGTCAGGCAGGATTTCCATCTCTCATGGTAAATGACCTGGTCCAGGCTGGGGCCCTGGGAATATGAGCACCTTAGGGCTTTTTACTGCCTTTGACAGGACCCAGTCCTGCCCGAGTGAGCAGGATTGCAGGGTCACCATCTGCTCTGTCCTGCAATTCCCTCTGAATCCTGGGCTCCTTTGGCTAATGGGTTTTTCCTCCAGAAGATGAAAGGAAAAAAGCAAAAAGTGGAAGAATTAAAGAAGGACATGGTGTTGGAGGAGAGAAGATGCAGGAATGAGGCTCTTTCATGTCCAAGTAATGAGTTTGCAGGCTGGTAGGTTGAGGGCATGTGTGTGTTTAAGAGGCTGAAGGTGCAGCTGGTGGTGTGGTATGAACAAATCTAGTTAAGGTCACAAAAGTTCTCACAAGTAAAATATGGCCAGCCCCTCCCATGGCCCCACCAAATGCTTCATTCTATTCTCGATTGTTACATCACTTGGGTTTCTGCCGAGTCATGCTCCTTAGTCCTCTCACCTGCTCCCAGTTCCTGGATTTATTTTGGCTCTTGTCTCACCCAGGTGCCTCAACCCCCAGTGTGTTAAGATTAGGGTGAAGGGGGCATCTGGGCAAGTAAAGAGGCAGAGTCTGGGGTGATTATCAGACGACTGAATTGTAAATAGCTGTTGATGGAAAAGGGGGTCCGGCACCACTATAGATCTGGATTCTCAGGTATCTCACCTGGAAACTGGAGGTCCTTGGGATTCTTGAATATGGAACATCACCTGCCCCACCTCCTGAGACTACCAGCAGAAAGGCAGTGGGGTGAATTTGAGTTGTCTCCATTAGGTCGCAGGGAGGGAGAAAGTGACTGTTATGAATTTTTGTAGGCTGCAGTTCAAAGAAGTGCTGCTGTTTAGTCCCCATGGGACTGTGAGCAGGGTTTCTCAGAGGAGGTGGGAAACTGGTCTTGGGGTGGGTAGAGTGAGGAAAGCTTTATGGACCCAGGAAAATCACAGAAGCATCCCCACACATTCTTGCTCATGTCCCCTCTACCTTTAAGTCAATCAGTGGCTCTTGTCCATGGCTGCAGACTAGAATCACCTGGAAGACTGAGCGCAACATCCCTAGAGATCTGGATTTAGTTGGTCTCCAGCGGTGTCTTGTTTTTAAGTTCCCCAGGTGGCTCTAATGTGTACCCAGGGCTGAGGAACTGAAGCGCTTGATTCTTCCTCCTGGTGCAGGCATGGTTACCTTGGACCTCTGGAGGGCCTGAGGCCTTCTGCTCACTTAACAAGGTCATGATAATCCTAGGTGTTCACCTACCATCTCCTGATACCCTCTACCCGCCTCCCAACACAGCTCCCTCCTATTCCTCACTCTTTACTCCTAGCAAGGCAAAAGTAACCTGTAACTGTGTTCTTACTTTACAGCTGGGAAAATAGGTAAAGGAACTTTCCAGGAATGCAGGTCAAACCTGGCTCAAAAACCAGGATTCTTACTGTTTCCTCCCCACCCTCCATCCAGAGCCTTATGTGTAGATTTCATGCATGAATGCCAGGGCCATGATTTCTTTGTCTTAAATAGACTAGAAAAGTGACTTCCTCCCACCCTATTCACCATCTTGCCTAGCTTCTTGGACTCTCCCTGTGTAATTGGAGGAAATCATTTAGAACCTGGAATCAGAAGACCTGGATTTGAATCCTGGTTCTGCCAAGGGTGTTCTTGGATCTCATCCAAGCCTTAGTTATAATAATCCCTTATGGAGTGGGTGTGGAAATGGAACAGAGAACATTCTTTGGAAACTTTAAGAAGCTTGGTAAATGCTACTTCCTTGAAGCAATGATCTCATCAGTATCTGTCAGGACCCAGGGTTGTCTTCTCCAAGGGAGAGAGAGATCAGAAGGAGACAGATCAGACCAGATCAGAAGACTCGATCAGATTCAGATGTGGGAAAGAGCGAAGTTGGCGTCCTCCTTTCTCTCCCCAAGATGAGTTTAGACCTTGCTTAGGGCCTCCAGCAGTTTCCTTCCCTTTAGGCCCCAGACAATGGGTGCCTAATCCTTCTTTCTGGCACTGGGTAGGGGTGAAAAATAAGGACTGAAAAATAAAGAGTTCCACCTGCACTTCCCTCCATTTTGTTGCCTAGCCAGAGATCCTACATCCCCAGCTGAGTGCCCAGGGGTGGGTCCTTCCCTTCCAGCCCACTTCTCAGTCTGTAAATGAGAGAGACAGTCCTGCTTATCCAGGATCGTGGAGCCCAAATATATGGAAGGGATAGAAGTACTGCACAGATATTGGAGTGAAGGAGGGGTCAGTTGTCCCTGGGCTTTCTCAGTCCTCCCCAGGTGGTTCTCCTTGCCTCTCTCCCGCAGCCCAGACTTTCTCCCTGCCCTGTCCTTACAGGAGGTGTCCCCACAAAGGCAGTTCCTGCAGAAGCATGCAGCTCCCTTCTCAGCCTTCCTCACGGACAACTTTGGTCGGCAACACAGCTACTTGCGGATCTCCCTCACTGAGAAGTGCAACCTCAGATGTAAGTCGCCTTCCTGGGCCCTCTGTGGACGGCTGTTCCTCCGTTGAGGTGCCTTCTGGAATCTCCCCATGCCCAGAAATCCTCCTGTTCTGCTTTCTAACTTCCCCACCCCCCAACCCATTGCTTGCCAGGCCAGACATACTTCCGGGACGAGATAGGGGTCAAGGTTGAGTTTTATGATTTTGGATGCTGTGTTCTACTTGGGATTAGATTTGAGAACAAAATTGCGATTGGGTTTAGAATTAAGATTCGGTCCTAGACTCTCACTCTCCAGGGCTCATTCCTTCTGTTTTTCTGGAGTCCCCGAAGTTCAGGACATGGTCAGGGATGGGAGTGGTGGACATTATAAACATGTGAAATACACAGCAGTGCCCCTAGCCAACACTACCAACTGTGGAGACTCCCCAGTGCCATGAAAAATCAGCTAGGGCCAGGCTGATACAAAGTGTACTAATTGCGTAATCCCATGCAAGGAGTCTGGGCACTTAGCCATAGCCTTGATCTCAGTTGTGGGACTTCCACAACTTTTATCTTTCCTCCTCCCTCCCTCCTTTCTTCCTTTCCTCCTTCCTTCTCCCTTTTTCCCTTCCCTTCTCCCCCTCCCTCCTCCCCCTTTCATCCATTCTCCCTCTTTCCCTCCCTCCGACCCTTCCTCCCTTCCTTCTTTCTTTTCTTCCTTCCTTTTCTCCCTTCCTTCCACTGTTTCTCACAATAAGGAAGATATTTACTTCATGGCTCACTAAATACATAATATGTGTTTTTAGTAAATATTTAACCAAGAAAAATATACTACAGTGCCTTACATTCTGATATTCTTGCCTGTTCTCTTCAATCTCAAAAGACCAGTCTGGAGCCAATACATTAATTTGCCTCTGTGACCCTCTCACAGATCTTGACCCAAACCTTAAGAAAGCTGTGCTACAGGAAGTGATAGTGGAGGATGGTGGCCCCCTCACCTGCCATAGCTTACCTCATTTATCCCATTCTGCCCTCTCACCCTGAGCAAGTAGCACCTCAGTTTTTCAACCCATAACATGGGCCTGAAATAGAGGATGGATTTGAGAACACTTGTAGCTACAGAGAAGAGCAGTTTTACCAGGTCAGAGAATAGTTCTCTTTCACCTCATGACACAGAGTAAGGTCACTGTTTGCTACAACTAGAAGAAATGAAGGAGGATGAACAATACCAAAAGAAACAGGCCCTGGGCCCTGGCTTTTCCAGGCAGTCCCTGCCCAGCCATCCCTCAGCCCAGGGAGTCAGATTTTTGCACCTCCTCATTCAGGCCAGACTCTGCCGTCAGCCTAGTGCATCTTTAATGCATATCTTCAACCCTTCACTGAAGGATGATATGGCCAGATGGCAGGATGGTGGGTGTTAATATTTTAGAGATGAGAAAAGCAAGGCCCAGAGAGATGCTAGCTCAGGGTTTTACCAGCTCAGGTTTGGTGAAGTCTCTCCTCAGTGTCCAGGTGGGGTTCAAGGACACCTTGGCCTGATGGAGAGTTGGGAGTAGAGGCATCACGAGCCTGCCTGCTGTGCCAGTCCCTACTCCACGTTCCCATTCGTCCTTCCCTCAGGTCAGTACTGCATGCCCGAGGAGGGTGTCCCACTCACCCCCAAGGCTGACCTGCTGACCACAGAGGAGATCCTGACCCTCGCCCGGCTCTTTGTGAAGGAAGGCATTGACAAGATCCGGCTCACAGGCGGAGAGCCGCTCATTCGGCCAGATGTGGTGGACATCGTGGGTGAGTTGGACGAAAGTGGCCACTACTACTCCCAGTTCCTGCCCCATCTGGCTGGACTTCAACATGAATATCAATATTGACAGCTAACATTCATTTAGAACATGATGCTTACATATCCTACAACACCCTCTAAGAAGGTGCTATTATTATTTCCATTTTGATTAGAAAATGAGGCTTGGAGAGGTTGAATAACTTGCCCAAGGTCACAAGGCTAGTAAGTGCCAGATTCCATTGGCTTGCTGTCACATTGAGACCAAAGTTCTCATCAAGAGGCCCAAGTGACCTGGCTCCTGCTGACCTCCATGACCTCTCCCCTTCCCCTCTACCTCACCCCTCCTCCCAGTCACATGGCTGGGCCTTTGCACGTTCCCTTTGCCAGGAACTCAGTGCTTACTGCTCTGCCTCATTCAGGCCTCTCTGCTCTGCAAGGCCTTCCTTGACCATCCTAAGTACATCCGCACACACCCCCCAGCCAGTCTCTCTCTCAGAAATTGGCAAGCTATGGCCCATGGACCAAATCTGGGCCATGATCTGTTTTTGTCCGACTTGCAGACTGAGAATGGTGTTTATGTTTCTAAATGATGGGCAAAAAATCCAAAGAAGAACATTTTTCTACCACATGGAAGTTATATAAAATTCTGTGTTTTGTGTCCATTAATAAAATTTTATTGGAACATAGCCACCATGCCCATTCATTTACATATTGCCCATGGCTGCTTTTGCAGAGTTGAGTAGTTGCGTCAAAGACCCTGTTACAAAGCTTTCTGGCAAAGCAGAAAATAGGTACGATCTGGACTTTCACGGAAAAAGTGTGGCAACCCCCTGCCTTATCCCCTTACCCTACCTTGTTTTTCTTCATTGCATTTGTCTCATCCTAGCATTGTGTGATTTGGTTGTGTGTTTGGTTTCTGATTGCCTGTCTCCTCCGTTAACTCGCCTGAAAACTGCCAGGTTGCTGGGGTGAGTGTTGTTCACAACACCTAGAACTGTGCCTGACACATAGTTGGTGTTTGCTGAGGTTTGTTGGATGGGTGAAGAGTGGGTCAGAGTGTAGTCTCTGGAGAATGGCATACTCCTATTTGAGTCTCAGCCCTGCCTCTTACCTGCAGCGTAGCTTTGGGCAACCTTTAAAATCTGTTCTAAGCCTAGGAGTGGTGATAGTACCTAACTCATATGGTTGTCCTCAAGAGGAAATGAGCATGGAATGCCCAGCGCCCTGTAAGGGGTGGCTCTGCAGAGCCTCATGCCATGCTCTGCATCTAAGCCCCAGGATCAGGAAGAGAGCCCTTTGTTCATGTCATAGTGATGAAATCAGAGGAATATGAGGTCCTGTGTTCTTGATTGCTGCCCTTTCCAGCTGCTCTGTATGGGATCCCCCAGCCCTCAGCTCTCTGCCTTATTCACTGGTTCAGTAAATATTCTCTGAGCACCTTATTATGTGCCTCGGACCCTGCCTGGGACACAAAGTAGGATGTGCGCAGGCCTTGCTATGAGGACCCATGGCCCATTGGAGGAAGCAGCTTTGGGGGTGGGATTGACCAGTCGTATGATGAGGGCTGAGAAAGGAGAGCCCAGTGCTGTGGGAGCCCCAAGAAGGGGCCCAGAGCTCCTTTGCAGCCCTCTCCTCCCTCCTTGCTCATGGCCAGCTCCCCCAGCCCCCACCGGTCACTTGGCCTGGGCTCCCACCATCAGTCCTGTGCTGAGTGAACTCGCCCAGGCAAGCTGACCCCCTGTTGCAGCAGATCCTCAGAGCTGAAAGACAGGCTGGCTTCCAGGAAAGAGCTGAACCTGCTGAACCCAGCTGCTTGCCAGGCCCAGCCCCCTCTTTCAGGCTGCGTTTTCTGTCGGCCACCCACTGGCATGGGCCACCTTGTGCCAGGGCCTGTGGGAGGGCAGAAGGGATGAGGATCACTTGCTGGTCAGGGAGGTACAGGATGACTGAGCACAGAGGACTCAGAGCTCTCCCTGCAAGTCCATGACTTGCACAATGGGGAGAGTAGGATCCAGGAAAGTTGGCAGCCCCATTCCCATTCTGTCACTCCCTGGCTGTGTGAACCTATGTAGGTTCCTTCCCTACCCTGAGTGTCAGTTTCTGCATCTGTGGATGAACCACTTTAAGAGCCTTTTCTGCAATGATATTCCATGGTTATTGGTCCTGGCTGATGGCAAAGAAGGGAAAGCGGTGATTACCAAATAATGCTGGTTAAAACAAGGACCTACCTGCAGGAACCTGCTTCTGAGGGTTTATCTCCTGCCTCCAAGGAGTGGACCGCACCCCTCCCCTCCCTGCGTGCTTCAAAAAGAATGACAGCTGCACTACCTTGAGTTCCTGTGGTACTGTGCTTGCTCAGGCTTTGACGTCTCTCAGGCCAGCCTCTGACCTCCAGGGGTGCTTCTTTGGAGTAAAACAGCCCTGAAGGGTGAACCAGGTGCATGCTAGTGGAGGAAAGAGGGCTAAGAGGAAGGGAGGGAACCGAAGTCAGGGCTGGAATGTTCACAAACACTTGTCTCCACTCTCCCAGGTAAAAGTTTTTAGGGACCCCACCCAGAGGGCAGAGTGAAAGGATTGCAGGCTTCAGGTTCCCCTGAACCTGTTCACAGCAGGTCCCTGCCTGAAGCTCTGTGAGCCTTGGAGGGTGGGGTGGGCGATGCAGAACTCCCCATGAGCAGGGTTTGGGCTGTGGCTCCCTCGGTCTGCAGTCATCTGTCATGTCCTCTGCCAGGCCCTCTCCTCTCCAGCACTTCTGCAGTCTGCCTTGTGTGTGGACATGTTCCTTCTTGTCAGCTGAGATGGGTTTAAAGTAGAACTGTCCAACAGAACTTTGCAAGATGATAGAATGTCCTGCATCTGTGTTGTCTGATATGGAAGCTGCTATCCTTACATGGCTTTTGAGCACTGACCTGTGCCTAATGTGACCGAGAAACTGAATTTGTATAGTATTACTTTTTAATTAACTTTAAAAGCCTCATGTGGCCAGCAGCTGCCATGTTGGACAATGAGAAGTTTTCTAAAGGAAAAAAGGAACTAAATGCAATAGTACTGTGATAGTGTGGAGGAGTTTTCAGAGCCCTTGCTTGGGATCCTTAACTTTAAGAACAACTTGTCACTGACATATGAACTTGACTTAACTTTTTTTTTTTTTTTTTTTGAGTCGGAGTCTCACTCTGTCGCCCAAACTGGAGTGCAGTGGCCGCTCCTGGCCACCGCAGCCTCGCACTACTGGGCTCCAGCGATCCTTCCACCTCAGCCTTCTAAGTAGCTGGAACTACAGGTGCTTGCTACCACGCCCAGCTAATTTTTGATTTATTGTAGAGATGAGGTCTTGCCAAGTTGCCCAGGCGGGTATCAAACCCGCAGGTTCAGGCAATCCACTCACCTCGGCCTCCCAAAGCGCTGGGATTACAGGCTGAGCCACCGAGCCCGGCCTTGACTTAGCTTAAGGATCACTTAGCACTGCAGCCTCTTCCTTTTTTCTTTCTTCTATCTTTCTGTCTTTCTATCTTTCTTTCCTCTCCCTCTCCCTCTCCTCTGTCCCTCTTTTTTCTTCCTTTATTTTTTTTTTTGAGTCGGATTCTCACTCTGTCACCCAGCCTGGAGTGCAGTAGTACACTCACAGCCACAATAGCCTTGACCTGCTGGGCTCAAGCAGTCCTTCTGCCTCAGCCTTCTAAGTAGCTGGAATCACAGGTGCACGCCACCATGACTGGCTTGTTTTCTATTGTAGAAATGAGGTCTTGCCAAGTTGCCCAGGCTGATCTTGAACTCCTGGACTTAGGCAGTCCTCTAGCCTCTGTCTCCCAAGTCCTGGAAGTACTGGCGTGAGCCATCATGCCCATCCTCCTTTCTGTCTTTCTTATAAAGAACAGCTAGATTTCACAGTCTAAAGCCCACAATAGGCCTAATATAATCAGATATTGACAGATTTTGAAAAGTGGGAAAGTTGTTTGTTTTGTTTTATTTTTGATGGGCTTCGGTTTCTTATTATTAGATTAAATCACAGTCCTTAGCTCGTGAGATATTCTTATCATTGGTTCATATATGACCTACCTTTCTTTATTCATGTTAATTTATTTGTATGTTTTAATAATGTTATCAATTCCTGAGTAAACCTATTATACTACCATTTTTTGGGGAAAAATAAGAACACTGGCAATAACTTAACCACCTATGTGGCTTTCCCTGTCTTGTCTCCATCATACCCCACCCCCTACCTGAGGTTAACATTCCTAAATTTTGTGTTTATCATTCACTTGCTTTTTAAAAAGTAGGTGTAGTGTTTTTTAACTTTATAACTATACACAAATGCTGTGTGTAGTCTTTCAGGGCTTTTTTAATTTAAGTGAAATGCTTGCATATTATTCAGAGTTGTAGTTTGCTCTCTTTTTTTTCTCTCTCAGGCTACTGTTCTATTATGCGAGTATAACCGACTTTCTCCTTTTAGTGAACATTTGAGTTGGTTCCATATTTTCATTGTAACAGTGCTACTTTGAACATTCCTATTCTCATTAACACATCCTGATGTACAATTTCTCTAGGAGTAGAATTGTTGGATCATAAAATAGTGAATGCTTAACTTTGGAAAACAATGTGGCATTACTTTATAAAGTGGTTGTGCTAATTTACACTCTCACCAGCAGAATATAAGCGATTTTGTTGACTGTCCTTCCCAACACTCAGTTTTATAATTCTTAATTTTTTCCAGTTGAACAAATATAAAATTATACTTCAATGTGGTCTTAATTTATATTTGCATGTTTAAGAATGAGGTCAAGCATCTCTTCATGTGTCAATTAGCTAGTTACATGTATTTCTTTTGGGGGGTAATACCTGATCATGTCTTTTGCCCATTTTTCTATTTAAGTATTTGTCTTTCCATATTGATGTAGTAATGTTTTTTTATATATGTTGTAAGTATCTTTTCCCAGCTTGAAAAACAAGTTGTAGCTTGTGTAATTATTCTTTTGGTAAGTAACCATTCTTAAATTTATCCGTTTTTTTCACTTAGGGTTAGTGCATTTTATATCTTGTTAATGAAATACCTAACCCAAGGTCAAGTCAGCTACTTATGTTTCCCACTAC